AAAACTGGTTTTCCAGAAAACGGGGTCTTCAAGAGTCATGGACCCGAACCCTTTTAGGATTTTCTTAGTCTCACTGAGTCCTACTCATAGCCAAAATATGGAGTCAAACGGCGTCCGACAGTTGGATAGGTTCCCTCGTTAGTCTGATCAGCCGATATTGTTCTAATTTATTGACTAATGCACCGGCCTAGAAAACAAAAAAATTTATGAAAGACTATTGCGTAATTGGTAAGTAGTAGTCCATTTTGAATATTTTGCTGAACACATTTCTATTTTACCGATTAAATGTACATCAAACACGTGTTCCCTATATCCGACTCGACTAGCATAATCTTTATTATATATATCAAAAGAATTATTCCGAGTGCTAGGGTTTTGTGATAGTCATACGATTAAACGTTAGAAAATAATTATTTCTAAAATCGGCACATAATTGTTGATGATTATTTCAATGAAGGGCTGAAAAACATATTCTGTGAACTACACGCCTGTTTTTAACTTGTTTGCATATATATATGAGCTGCAGTCTGTCCCAAAGTAGACAGCTGCCTATGGATTTTTCTGTATTGGTTGTTAGGGGCGGCACTTTCTTCTTACTACCTCTTTTTTTTATTAACAAAAGAAATTTTTTTTCTTTTTCTTTACAACAAAAAAGAGTAAAGATATAATCCATATCTTTTCTTTCCTAAGAAAAGGGAAAGTGGCACCTTTTCTTTTTCAAAAAAAAGAAAAGCGATATCTTTTCTTTTTGCAAGAAAAGTTTCTTGCTAAAAGTTCTTTACTTCTAAAATAAAAGATACTACTTTACCGTTACTCTGGAAAGCAACGAGAAAGTGCTACTCCTATTGTATATTGAAGATGACATTTTGTGAACGAAAAAGAGAAAGATGTTTGACCCCGACGTGATTCGAACACGCAACCTTCTGATCTGGAGTCAGACGCGCTACCGTTGCGCCACGGAGTCGGTGACTTAATGTCTCTGGCTAAATGATGTTACAGTAATGCTGCTGCTAAATTAATGTTACATTTTGTTGTTATGACATAGATAAATCCTCTTACTATTAGAGTGATCATAGATGCGTCGATAATGAGTAAAATATATCTGAAAGTTAAGTATAAAATAAAAATCATTGGAATCTGATAAGATCTTTGACTTGTAATTGTTTTTGACACTTGAAATCTAGTTTTGAGTCATGTTTGGAAAATAAATTTTTGATAGGCAAAATTTATACATTCATATATTGAGTAACTTCTTCCACATATTTAAAATAGCTTCACCGTGTCTTTTAATAATCCACAGATGATCGGGATAAACGAAGTAATCCACTAATCCACTTCCATTCAATAATAATTTCGATCCAGTTTTTATTAGCGATTATGAATTATACATCAGTTTTCCTTCTACTCAAAGAAAAAGTACAAAAAAAGCGAAAAGAACACATTACTAGCTATTTGCGGAAGAATCGGTTCACGGAAGAGCCGTTCCTGGAAAAAGAAAAAATGTGCCGCGTGTGTATTTTAAGCAAAATTCGCGGAATAGTTGGTGATTCAGTGTTTCAGCTTCTGTACGTTTGATCTTTTCTGTATACAGTTCACCTTGTGTATGAACAAGTTGAAGTGCTTGACGTACGTTTACATTGTTGCGCAATCATTAGTAGGTCACGGCACATTTTTAGGCTATTGCGACAAATTTTGGACTAGATTTATGCATTCAAACTAGTAATCTCATAAAGAGAGAATTGAAGTTTCAAACATCTTTGATTTTCATTACTGGTATCAGTCCCTGAAGTAAAGGCTCCTCCAGATAAGTTTCTATGACTTTTGTAATCGAAGACGACAAAACGTTTAGCCAATTGATAGTCAAGTTCTTTAAAGTATAGTTAAGAGCCTATGCATAATCTATTAAATGCAAGTTTTTGTTAACCCGGACGCTGTCTAACTAACGGCTATTTTCGCAAATCAATTCCAATCATAAAATTTTGCACAGAACTGAATGCTCACTCGATGTTTCTAGAGACATTAAGTCGCCGACTCCGTGGCGCAACGGTAGCGCGTCTGACTCCAGATCAGAAGGTTGCGTGTTCGAATCACGTCGGGGTCAAACATCTTTCTCTTTTGCTTTCTCAAAACATCATCTTCAAGGACGAGCACACACACTTCTTTGTATCTTGTTTGAACATTATATATAGCTAGAGAATGTGCTTGGGGATAGGCATCCGAGTAAGGCGCTCCAAATTCAAGGTCACAGCACTACTTTTTCTTGTAGCTCAAATATACATCGTTCGATGCAGAATTTTTAACGCTGATCATGCTCAGTGCTGCATCTTAACCGAGACAACTGTCTGTGAATTTTGATATCTGCGTTTATCTTCAAAAGGCTAAACTAAATTTACGGTTTAAAAGGTTTCATTTCCATCTGTGGCGTGTGTGGCTTGTCGTTGTATTTCTTCGGAAACGTGGGTTGTTATTCGACGCCTTTTATCAACGCCAATTCAGGGAACACATATGTTGTCAACATGGTTGAGTGCCCGTTAGTTGAATCGTTTGTAAGCGAAATTCCGTAAGTTTGTTTTTACTTTCCCTTACAGGATGCTTCGAAACGGTTCTGACAACTATGATTTGTAGCACGTTTGCGGCAGGTGCTGACTAGGGAGTGAACGTTGTAGGCTGTAAGAAAAAAGTATTTTGACTGAGTGACGAAGAAAAATAGAAAAGGTTTTTAGTTCCGTTGGAAGGAAAAGAAAAACTTTTATTTTCGAGACTTCAAAGGTACATGCATGTAGCTGCTGAAAACGAGAGCTGCATCAAAGCTTAATTGTGCACTTCATTGTCCAGTTAACCGACAACCACTAGATGCACTTACTTGAAGTTATATATGATCTAGCTCTAATTGTTGCCAAGAGAATCATACAAAAATGGGAAGAATTTTGGCCGTTTCTTACTACAAAGTTTTTGTTCGAGAAATAGAAGGTAGAGATCTGCACGAATAGCTATCCCAGGTGGAAGACGTCTTACAAGATCTTATAAGGTCTTATAAGGTCTGATGATTTCTTATGCAACCTTGCTACAAGATCTTTTAGCAAGACTTTATAAGATCATGATCGTGCGGAATCTTGCAACTTCTTTGTGCTATAAGAAACGCGGTTAGACACATTGCTAAGGACGTCAGAGTCCTTGGTATGCTCGAAAATATTATGAGAAGAAAAAGACCTTTTTAAAGAGTGTATAGAGGGGATCTATAGGACAGAACCAGCAACATAATCTTGTAAGATCTATTGAATTCTTATATGATCTTATGAAATCTTTCAAGATCTTGTCACTTCTTGCACGATCATACAAGATCTTACGAAATCTTGTAAGATGATGGAACCACGATTCTTGTCAATTCTTGTAATATGATCTTACAGGCTCATATTTCAAGATTCTTCGCCCTGGGATGCAGACCTTTGATAGAAAGTACTTTGTGGAGGTTCAAGATATTTATTCAAATCAATCTGGGACCAAAATACGTGCAACCCGTGCAAGAACCGAATCTGCGTACTACAGTATGCTTTTATGAGCTCTTACCAACTGAACCAGGAACCCACAACTTTTTTCCAGAACTACAGTTTGAAAAAAGCGTCTTTTCGACTTGAATTAAGGTGCCGAAAATTCAAAACTTGAGCAGGAATTGTTTTTTCGTGCTTTTTTCCATGGTTGGATAGAGCTCATTGAGTTACATAGGAGAGACTCTATTTTGGATTTTTAAAAGTAATCTTTGGGTGGAACAATTTAAGAATATTGATTTTTTTGAAAGGAGAAGAATCAGTGAATTTTTCCAAAAAGAAAAAAATTCGTTCTTTATTCCTTGTTTAAAATTCCAAAATGACTTTTTCCTAATTCAGCATTCAGAACTGAGTTTAGTTTACACTTCTGCTTTTAGCATTTTTAAACCCCAGAATGTTTTTGAAATTAGAGAATCACGAGCAGCATTGAAAAAATGCGCCTATACATCTTGCAAACCTATCTAGTCCTACAGATTAGAAGATAAAACAGATTTTTTTAATCGCATTTTAATCGTTATATATGTGGAAAAAACAAGTTAATGCTGGGTTTTGGAAAATATTGTTTTATTGTTGAGAAAATTAATATTTTTGAAATAGATACCAAAAACCAAGGAAATGCACTCGTATTTTGCAGTTTTCGTTGTCAAACTTCCATTTTTTTGCAACTCCACTCTCATATTTGGATTCAGTATCACAAATTGAATTGGTACGTTTCAAGTATTTTTTGGGCAACTTTCATTTTTTTCAAACATTTCGACTCTCGAAGTTGTTCAAAAAATCCGAAACCTACATCAATCAACTCAGTTGAAATTGAGCAATGGCCAATATGTAAATATGAAACTTACAGAAAATTGCACTGCTGGTAGAAAACCTGTAACTTTTGTGCCACAAGAAGATGAATAATTAAGCATTCAAATTTCAAATAGTTACAGAATAAGAATAAGTTAATTTTAGAATTTTTTTTGCAAAAAGTCTAAAGAAGATGAGAAGAAAATCATATAAAAAGGTTTATCACTTTCGTCTGACTGTCTTATTGCATTCTTATCACTTCTATGAATGATCTCAGAGAAGAATCTCATAAGAATCTTACTCTTATTAAAATCTATCGCGTAGGACGATAGTTTGAAAGTTAAGATTACTTCACCTTTGTTATGTTTATTATTTAATCCCGTAGAACGAAGCAAGTGCATCTGATTGACGAGTTTCTCGTTTCTTGCTAGTGTTCTTCAACTGAATAAAAATTGAAACTAGTGACCACCTATAGCAGTTAGTTTATATAACCAACCGTTACTTGACCAACATTTTGCATTTTGCCAATAATTACCTTGAAACGTTGTTAGAATAATGTTTACCATATCAACAGATTCTAACAGAATTGCAAGAGCTAATTTAAATCGAATTGTAGATGATAATAATAAATGTTGTAGTTTTTGACCATTGACAAAATCTGAACGTTCATCAGTAACAGCGGTTAATTCAAACCATTTTAAATTAGGCATTAATTTTATGAGTCGTTGTAGAGTATTATATGAAATACCACAGTTATGAATTCTAAAATGTTTTAAATTTATCAAAATTTTATCAAATGATATACTTCTAGCCAATTTAACACCAGGCATTATGTCCGTAACTTTCAAATATTTTAAATTTAAACTTGATTCAAGAATTTGCAATAGAGTAGGAAGGTTACATCGAATTGTTAAATAAACTAAATTATTTTTCTGCGTTATATTGTTTGTCGTATCAAAATCTAGTAAATAATTTTGACATATTTTTAATGTTTTTAATTGTATAAGATAATTTTGAAAAAGAAGTTTTATCATCAAGGTACTACAATAAAGATAAATAATAATAAAATTATATTAAGTTAATATGAAATAAAAGTTTTACTTACATTAATGTTTTTTCATTTACACTATTTTTACAAATAACTAATGTGGAAAGTTTTGATGAATTTTTTAATATTTCTATTATTTGTAAAATATTTTGTATATCACAATCATTGGTAATTGTTAATATTTCAAGTGCACAACATTGTGCTAAAGAAAATTGTGGATCAATTACACATGATACTGTTAATGATACTAAACGTTTAATATATGTTTTGATATCAAATTTTTTAAGATAAAGTATATTTTTTGTATCCAATGTTAGTTTAAGATGTTTGTCTCCTAAAATATTATTGAAACGTGCATTAAGACCATCAAAAGCTGTATACATATAGTAAATATCCAAATATTCTAATATTTGCATAAGTAATTCGTCACTTAGATTTTCAAATTCATTAATAGTCATAAGTATTATGTGATCTAGAAAAACAAAAGTATGGCTTTTTGAATCAATTATTAACATTAAAATTCAAATTATCTAGCACAAAATGTACTCTTGTCATAAATGAAACCTATTAAGGTTATTATTGTACATCGAGATATACATGATGAATAACTATTTTTTTCATAGGATGGAGAATTCGTTCTTGCAACAAAGTGCAAAACTATAGATAATATGACTTTGGTGCAAATGTCCATGTTCATAACCCTTAGCTACTATTCCTACCTATTACTATGCACTACTATGCATTAGTAGTCAATACTATCTAGCACTATCAGTACTACCTAGAACTACCTAGTACTACCCGGTTTCGAACAACTGACCTCTGCTCTACAAAGCCCTCTAACTTTAACTTGGTCTCTCTCTATCCTTCAGCTTGTCCAAACGTGACGAAATTACGTTTTTGACGCACAAAACTCTAGTTTTTTCGCGAACTACACGAGCTAGAAAGTTGATTCTAGCGTCATTCGACGCAGCTTTTGAACTTTCAGCTATGATAAAAAAATAAAGTTTCTCGGAATTAATGTCAAGGTTCCAGAGCAATTTTACGGAGTGTGACGAAATTACAAAAAAAGGCCTCAAATTTTTGGTTTTACTGGTAAAACTGTAATTTCTTGCGAAGTTAAGGATCCAATCTGAATCATCCTAGAAAATATTTTGTAGAGCGCCTCTCGGGCTATCGTCTGGTAAAAAAAATTTTGCAAAACGCTTTTCCAGACGAATAAAATGCTTATTTTATTTCGTGGCGAAATTACGCTCATCGTGACGAAATTACACACTTTTTCAGTTCTATGCATTTTTGCATTAGTATGCATAAAACTCAGCTAAATCCAACTACAATGA